AGTGGGAAGTTCACGCTCGCTGGATCTTACGTGGGTGACGCCATCTTGGATTCACAATCACGAGGTCAAAATTGTTTACATCATAAATATATATTTTTTTCACATTTTGATCTCAAAAAACAAACACAATATCAAAAAATACTGACAAAAATCAAAACTTAGAATAATAGTACTACTACATTTATAAGAATAATAATGAAAATACGTTTCGTACACACCGGAAACATGTGGCTTTTGACCCCAAGTGTGACTATATCATTTGCATATGAATATACGTTTGGCAAAGAGCGTTTGACACCGGGGCTTACGGCTTTGTCTTTATAGAACTGCTTTGTTTTTTTTAAAACGATATCCAACCAATGAGAAACAACAGGAGATTATCCCGGGAAATTGGCGTTAATACAATGCATTTGTAGATTTAACTAGTTAGCCAGGAAACTTACAGTCTGCGAGAGACTGAAGAAATCAGATCACGGGATAAATAATAGCATCGCGGAGAAAACACATAGCGTTGCGGGCAAATCCGATCACATCGGGGCCCGCGACGCTGTTTTGGCCTGGGGAGAACACTGAAGCATAACTGAGATCCGGGTCCAGAATGGTGAAAATGTGCGATTTTGATGCATTTTCGGCCTTAAAATGGCCGCTATTCGGCTATCGTTAATCGGATCATGAAAAAAATGCATGTGCATATGTCCCATATAATGTGTGATGTATGAGTGAAGTTTGAACTTAATCGGTCCATGCATGTTCGAGATACAGGTGATCACGGACGCATGGACGCACACAGATCAAAACAAAAGTCCCTGATTTCGGACTACATCCGAACGGGGACTAAAAACTCTCTATCGCATAAAATCCCCAACCATAACAAACTTATTTCTAGCCAGATCAGATATAACAGCAAAACAAATAGAACAATAACAGTAAACTTTAAACTAAGACAAACCTGATTCACAGTTTGGTTAAAGAAAACAACTATATTGAAATCAGGATTGCTTCTTCACTTTTCTGTTTTCAGGGAGGCATTGAATTAAATTCTATCTTTTGCCAAACTGACTAAAAGTGCAGCCCTTTTTATCTCCTCTTCAAATGGCTTGCCCAGTTCTTGGAGACAAACTTAAAGTACCTGTGAAATTCCCACCAAAACATTTCCCATTTTGGATTTGTTAGTTAGTGATTTTTTTGTTGAAATGATTACTTGCATCCAAGTAAATGCGAGATATTTCTTGTGTTGTAGCCACACCCACCTAACCTGAAACAGTTGACTGTTTCCAGCTTTCTGACTCTAGCGGAAGTAAAAGTGCTCCACCAAACACCAAAATATGAGAGAAAACCATACTCTTGCGCTACACTTTTATGATACACTTTTTAACGATATATATGTACTTTTTTAGTAATAGCGTAAGAATTTATGCGTTTCCAAACGATCCGAAGATGTGATATCAGTAGACGAAAACCATAAAATCAATGAAAAAATTTGGGATAGACATTTTTGTTATACCATCATGCAGAAAATCAGTCCTCATTTATAAAAGAACTTGGATTTAAAGTGCCGAAAAATTAAACCTGGCACAGTACTAACATGTTTTAGAACAAGATTCCAGACCATCCCAAGTTCACCCGGTCGGCTTTCAGAAGAAAGATAAATGTCGGATAAGTGTTTCAAATGTTTTGGGAATCTGAATAACGTTTTGAGATCATATATTTTGTGTTATGTAAGATGTGCATGCAAAACCTGAAGCATCAGTCAAACAGGAAATTACACAGCACTCACACATTGGTACATTGCTGTCTAAAAGTTTCTGAATTGTTTGGTTATTGGTATACGGTAGTTCAATGTTTTAGAATGTTAAAACATTTTTTCTTTTTTTTTACTTAGACAATCGATGGAATATATCAGTGTATGAACATAACCAGTAATCTGACAAATAACAAGAAAACAAGCTAGATGTCAAACTCTATTTTGACAAATAAAACAAACAAAAAAAATCGACATAGACAGAGATCTTAGAGAGCTACATGGCAATAGATAACTCAACCCTATCTGAATATACATGTACTTTATGGTTCACTTTTCATCGAGTACATGAGTGGCAATTTCGTCAAAGACGAAAAAATTTAATATGAAATGTGCTTTATATACATTATCACCAATGCACGCTGACCAGCAAGTTCCCCTTCATATGTTGCAAGGTGTATTTGAATATGCAAATGAGAAGCTAATGAGGAGCTTCATTTTAAAATACATCAAAATAAAATTGGCGTAGATCGAGTTTGAAACTGATTTTTTCACTTTAAAAATTTATTTTGTACTTAAAAAATAATAATATTGATGTACAAATAAATGATTTTGGGTCAGAAAATAGCAGTCATTTCACAGTCATTTTAGGTTACTGTCCTCCAAAGATTGCCAACAACCAATCCCAAATATGTGACTGAAAGTATGAATATTTGTAAGTCCTTTCAGATGATCAATGTCACTCCTGTCATATTGCCTGATTTCAGTGGAGTGTGTCTGTACACACAGGAACTAGGTATTGTAACTTAATCTAAACTTCGATAGCAAATGACAATTTTTTGTAAAGTGTTTTAAAATATTAAATTTTTTTAATTGAGCTTGAAAAGACTGCCTTCTTTGAGTATTTTTAATTAATGTGGTCAGGTAGGGATTTCCAGTGTTGAACTCCACATATTTAAAATTATTTTGGTTGAAGTCAAAATTAAATCTAAATCTAATCCATTTGTTAACCGGGCTGTCATGATAGGCTCACTATCTGTGTCCCGAATACCAGGACTAGTCACTATCTATACTTACACAGACCTGTTCATGTTTGTGATCTGCCCTCAGTCACTTTAGAAGTGACTAAAACTTGACCCAGTCACAGGTAGTAGGATAATTATATGAAAGATGCAGCACACATGGAGAAATGGTAATTTAATGTCTTCTATCCAAAGCCTAAATACTGACTTCATCAGTTAGAAGGGAGTAACAAATTGACAGAAACAATTTGTTATCACTTGTTCGGAAAGCTGGTTGATACAAGTAACCTGATTGGCTAATATAATCCACAAACTGAAGATTACGGTTAAAATCCTATTATAAACCGCATACCTAATAGTAACCGCACCCCCGATTTCGGCTTCAGTGTTAAAAATTGAAAACATGAAAAGTACCTATTACTAACCGCACCCCCAATTCAACAAGACCGTGACCGACTTTGTTTCAACGAGCTGGTACATTGTTCCTAATCCTATTCATTTGTTTCGACAACGTGCCTAAAAATATTCACACCTCTTTATTGTTCAGTAGTGTTTAGGATGTCAAACACGCAGTGGAACTGCTTTTGTCTTGTGACAACTTGTGTTAATACTCCTTATGAATACGTCCGTGTGTCGCAAGTTTTCGACAATGAGCTGTTCTCACCGAAAAACTGTTAAATTTTTTTTCAATGCTCAGTTTATCTTTCGAAAACAACTAATTTCTTGATTTAAAAAAAAAGTCACGTCGTTTTCCCATGGAAATCAAAGCCAAAAGATCGCACTACATTATCGGTAAAGGTTTCGTTCACCATGAAGTCGGTGACCTGTCATTAACATATTTAAATGATCTAAGGTAATTTGAACATGTGGGCACCATCCAGCATTTTGATTGGTTAATTAGCGACTTGACCTACCCGGTCAAGTAATGTCTCCTGTGCATTCAAACTACATGGCGGATGTCGCATCGATCGTTTACATGTGACCGAAATAATTCGCTTACGGTGAAACTAAGTTGAATTTTACTTGCATTTGATAACAATTCAACGAATTTAATTTTCGTGCGTTGTTATAATCACTACAGAGTAATAATCAACAATTTTAACAGTTCGAAAACAAGTAAGTTATTCCCTTGTGAGCCGAAGCATGGCCGGATTGCGTTACCGTAACCACGGTACCGTACTTTTT